AGTTCTGAGAAGAGAGAGGGGTTTTTGCCAAATTTTCTAACCCAAGTACCTGCATTGTTACATGCTTAGCTCTGACATGCAAATACTGACGCTCATACATATGTATGAATATGTCAGTGTCGGTCTTCAGCCGTGGATAGCTGTATGCTTGACTGGCATGTGTGTTGCTGATTACTTGATTCTTGGATTCCAATGATTTTTTGAGACAGCTGAAACCCCAATTTTTTGCATTTTGTTTATTTAGTGAAATAGCAAAAAAAAAAAAAAAAAAAAAAAAAAAAAAAAAAGGGATGAGAAGGCGAAGGTTGCTTTAAGTTTGGAGCTTTGTTTTTTTTCAAGTTTTTTTTTTTTTTTTTCCTTTGGCTTTGGTGTTTTCTCTTAAGCTGTGTTTCAGCTTGCAGCAAGTGGTTGGCCACCCCTACCCTTCTGGTTCCTTGCTTTCTTTTACACTATTCCAGAACATGTTTCATGCCTTCCCTCTTTCTTGTTTAGACTAAATTAGCCAATGAACAACCTGACCCAGCTGCTTAGCTGTTCCCTGATCTGCATTTTACTTCTTAATGAGCTCAGAGTGACAAGCTATTTAGGCTGCTTGTTCCAGCATCAGCTCTGACTCCATCTGTAACTTTAGTGCCACTTCTTTGTCAGCAATGCCAATTACAAATGTGTGCTTTTCTAATTTACAGCACTCTACTTATAACGCCCACGCTGTGCTCCGTGTGTTCTCTCTTTGCTTCTACTGTTTGTAGTCACCTGAGCAGACCTTCAGATTGTCAGAGCAAGGGTCTGCTACATGGCTGGCATTGATCAGCTATCTATAGCACCATATACAATTTGGCAATGCATAGATCATTTGCTCCCTTTCATCTGCCCTGAATTTGGAAAGCTCTGTCGGTTCACACGGGGTTCTACAAACCTGTCTGTGAGTTGATCCTTCTGTGAACTGGCAATCCTGGAGCAAATGTGTTCCCTTGCATATGATACCACAATATGGGAAAAAGAATTACTTACTATGCATCTGTAGGGCTATATTATATTTTTCTTGGCCTCCTCTGCATTCATCTGCAGAAAAATCTTAAATATGTTCCTCTTTTTCCCGTGAGCAATAACTACAGCTTGATCCATTTCTTTGTGTGTATTGTTAAAAATGTAGAACATCCTCAAGTCTCTGCTCAGGCAAATACAGTATCAGTAAGCAGTCTCCATTTCTGCTGGTTTATAATATGGCTTACTGAGTAGCTGAAAAATTATTTGATCTTTTCTGTTGCTGCTGCTGCTGCTGCTGGGTGTGCATTGCCTGTTGACCAGTTGGTCTTCTGAAGAGTAAGACTCATATCTAGAAAGACATTTCAGTGAGCACTAAAGGAAGCAATCTATTTGGCTCCTTATCTTCTCAGACAGACAGTTCCTCAGATTTAATAGATGATGTATTTAAAATCAATTAAAATACATAACTTCTTCATGTTATTAATAATTTACTTTTTGGTTTTAATGTCATTATATTCTGTTGCTGCTCTGATTGGTGGCTGAATATGAAAAGACCATTATTATCTCCAGTCATGCCAGATGATACAAGAACACAATCTCAGACTGTCTGATTTAATCTGAAAGTTCACTATGACATTTTTTTCCACTAAATTTTTTACTCCCCATTTGCACTATTTCTTAGTAACTGTGGAATACTCTCAGTTATTGTAAGCAGAGAGGAATGAGGGAAGTCCCAAGAAAAGCATCAGGTGGGATATGATGTGTATCTGTTAAAGTAGGATAACAAGGTTCCAATAGTTACCAGGCTACATTTCTTTCATCAGATTCCATGTGGTGCTTTCAGCTGAAATGAGTGGGCATCAGCCAAGGTATTCCTGAAATTATTAAGCCCTTTATCTCCTACAGACTGTGGAAGTAGAATTTAGTTTGATGTGCAGAACAAAGAAGCAGTAGTGAGCAACATTTAGCATGTATTTCTACATTATTATTTTGCCTTCAGGGGAAAAAATTCAGGTCTTGAGATAAAATGGTTATTCGCAGGGTATAAGTGTTGAAAGTTGTGTGTTGCACTCACATACATAACAGTCAGAAATTGTAAACCAGAAAATCTGGTATTAGAAAGTTTACATTTTGAGTCTGTAAAACTATATATGTAGGTTGCTGAGTTTAAATGGCCCCAAGAATAAGGCAGTGCATGGATTGATTTTGAACCATTTATTATCTGTCTCTTATAACTCTTCCTTTATTAGAAGATTTCCTCAGTTTTTCAGGAAAACAAAACAATAGTGAACAAGCTGCTCAGCATTTAGATTTTCCTGAATAGCTGATAACTAGACCATGCAGCTTGTTTAGATGAATAAAAATGCTACAAAATTTTCAAAGTTTATCAGAAATTCTACTTCAAATGTTTTTGCAGAGGGTAAATAGCATTGGGAAAAATCATGAAGGCTGACACGTACAGCGAATATGGTGGAGATCTGAACATCATATCTCATTTTTTATATTAAACAAGCATGGAAAAGGTAAGTGATGGTGGTGGCCAAACCTGTGACTTCTAACTTTTAATACTGGAAGATTCAGTTTGTTTATTGTTTTTTTGAAGATACCTCACTAAAAGACCAGAAAAGCTTTGAAAAATTATGATCATAATTCTAAAATAATACCATTAGAATTGGTGGATTGTCTCAGGAAATTAGATTTGCTTTTATTCTCCTGTGTTTAGTAGCTTAGGTTTTCTGAAAAGGAAGAATTACAAAGGTTTTAGTCTATTTTCCACAAGAGAAATTGTGTTTATGTGTCTGAGTGTCACAGTGAAATAACATTTTTTAAATTTACTAATTTGTAAGAAGGATTCTGTCCTGTAAGAAGATCCTGTCTTTATCCTTTTTTAAAGTCCATTGCTAGTAAGAATTAAAGAATTTATTTTAGATAAATTATTTTAGGTGCAATAAGGATATGTGATTCTGATCACAGTGACTCTTTGCTACTTCTCCTTATACTTTTCCTCTGTCTCTTAAGGCTTTTTTTGGGAAATAGTCTTTGGAGACTGCCAGAGGAATGAGTGCAGAAGTCTATGGGTCTTGTTTTGGCCTGACTATTCATCAGCCAGTACAACAGCTATGGGTCACATTTGCCAGCTAGAACAACTTAGGGCAATCCTGAGGTTGCTCAAAACAGCACTGGGGATGAACAGTCCCAAGAACTGCAGGAACTGTGGCTGTTCTGTCACCACTTTTCACTACTGCACTGAGAGTACTTTAGCCAAGGCAGGAAAATCTGGCAAGTGAAAAAATCTGGAGTGTTATAAATGTGTTATTTTTAAATAGTCACTTTTAAAATGCATAGGATCAAGATCTCCTTATTAATTTCCATAGATATTGCATCAACTGCAGAGCTCTTTTGTTAAGATTGGTCATTATTTACCAACTTTTTACTTTTTTTTTTCTCATGTGGGCTAAAACTAATAAACTAATACATTTTAAGTTCAAAAATATGCATGACAATATTTTGGTTTTTACCTCCTATGTTATACAAGTTATTGAACTTCTTGTAATTTCTGCATTGAACCTTATGACTTACAACTTAGCTAGAATGTACCTTTTAAAAAGCTATCCAGTATTGATTTAAGGACTCCCACTGAAAGTGAATCATCTATGCCCCTCAGTAATTTACTCCAGTGATTAATTACTCTCAGTATTAATATTGTGCATCTTATTTTCAATATCTCTCTTTTTTAATCCAACATTTTCAGTGGGAAAGATAGGTGAGTTTTTACACAGCTCTGTGGAGAACTGCTCAGCACTAATCTATATGAAGCAAAAATAGTGTTGCTCCTTATTGCTTCCTTACTGCTCCCTTACAGATATAACATTTCACAAGTAACACTTTGAAGCTCATTGAGTACTACAGACATACCTCTAAATAGGGGCTCAAATATGATGTAAGCCCATATCCTTTCCTCCCAATGAATGCCAGAGAAATACTTTTACATGGGATCTGGAGAGTGAGCTGTTCTATGTATTGAGGGGCTAAGACTGCAGGCACATTTAGTCCCTGGCCTGTATTAAGTAACCTAAAGGAGGTAAAGGTTGTCTTTTCCATAAGAGCATGTCTGAAAATAATGTGATTATACTGGTTAGTTTGTAGAGAACAGTTTTACGGGTAAAGATTTTTAATATATTTTCATAGACATCAACATGGTGATGGAGATGACTGGAGTTTATCAGCCTCTCCCCCTAATTATGAAACATAATTGTTAAAAGGAAATCAAAACTTTTGCTTATTTACAGGCTAAATAAAAATTGAGGCAGCAAGAGTAGACACTGGTTAAGAACTGGTTGCATTTCTTTTAGTGCAGGCTAAAGTTTTTTGTCCGCAAATTAAAGAGTACATTTGGTGTACATTTTTCTCTTCATTTCTTCATCTCCAAATGTGCTTTAGTCTTAACCTAGAGGGACCACCTGTGAGTGAGAGGGTAGTTTAGTCTCCATGCTTATTCACTCCTTGGTCTCTCTGCTGAGACTGTCAAGCCAAGAATGCCAATTAGTTCAGCATTAACAAGCCCCTTTATGTGTTCTATTGGGCCTAAGAATTGACAGCTTCTATTCTGAATTTCCTTGGTTATGTGGATTTATGTTAAATTCTTGTTTCTCATGAAAATGCTCTCAAGCCTCTAGTTGGCCTGTAACTAATTGTTTCAGAATTAAAAGTGGGTGCAAATGAAAACCTGGTCAGGTTACCCTTGGACTTGGATACACTATCAAAGCTAATCTGTACAGACCTTGCTTAACTGTGTTTACAGTGCTCCTCTGAAATTTTTTTTTTTTCTAAAACTGTGAAAGGTCTTGGTTTTATATTGATGGACATGCATATGCCTGATCCATGAGCAAAGAGTGGGATTTGAAGCAAGCCCTGTTCAGAAACAAATTTTGAAAAAGGAAAAGAATTATAAATCCGTGCACTGTATAAACTGCCTTATACATTTGGTTCAATGTTAGTCCATGTCTGCAAAAGTACTGCAAGTGCTGGCTATTTATGGACTATATAGAGTAGTTGTGCTTTCTCCTGTGCTACCCCACATGCTTAGGAAGACATATGGGTAAACTCCAGAAAACCATGTTACCTCACTTTTAGTATTCATAATGCCCCCTTAAAAGCCTTCATCACAAAAACTGCAAAGTAAAAAAAAAAAGAAAAAGAAAAAAAAAAAACTGGCAGTGATTAGGCTACTTTATTGCTGAGACCACAGCATGTCCCAGGATCCTGTATTTTCTCATTGCTTCCCTGTGCCAAGCCCTTCCATTGAGTTCTTTTAGTATATGTAACAAGAGTGAATATTTTTTGCATAGGTTCTGACCCCTCCCGAGGTAAAAGTTTTTGACAGAGATCCCCATACTTCACAGTAACACCAGTGTGCAATAGTCTATAAACTACTGCATAAAAAAAAAAGAAAAAAAAAGGCAAAATCAGAGAGATTGTTTCTCATTCTGCTTTTCCATTGACTGTACAACAGTAGTCAGCATGCCTGAAAAATGTCTCCATGCATGTTGTTTATAGCTCTGTTGCATTAGTCAGCTTCCTTTAATAAATCAGATACAAGTTGTGACATGTTGCTAATTCGATCACTAATAACCTGCTCAAATTGCAAATCTATGTCAGCAGGTTGGTGTTGATTAAGTCATAGTCACCACTAACATATTGTTTTAAATGACTGATAAATTTTATTTGCTGCAGTGATAGACTGCCTGCTCTGCTGTATTTGGTTGTGGGCTTGTGGGGGATTTTTGTCGCGGGGGGCTTTTTGGTTGTTGTGTTCTTTTTTTTTTTTTTTTTTTTTTTTGTCTCCTTGTAAGCTTAGAAAAATGACACAAACGGCCCTGAGGTGGTCCTCTAAAGGCCTTTCTCTTCCCCGGTTTGCTGCAAAGAGAGCTGGTAGCCACTAGAGGGGAGGAGACTGCCGGCTTTTCTGAGCGCTCCAGCTCCAGCTTGAAGGTGCAGAGGCTGTCACCAGACTGGCTGCCCAACGAAATGGTTTAAAATATGTTATGAAGGTTAGTAAAAAAATAAAAATAAAATGTTTTTCCCTCATGCCCCCACTTCCTTTAATGCATTTGAAATATTAACTGCTCAGCACATGGGCTATCTTAGGAGGGTTACTATCTCAGGTGATAACTGGGGGAGGGAAAAAAGCCTACGGTAATAAACATTTTGAATGTTACATCTGAAGGTAATGTGTTAAATATTTCAAGGCAAATGTTTAATTTTCTATGCAAGGATGCTGGAAAATTAGGGTGTAGTCTAGGAATAACAATCATTTATTTCCTATGTGAAATGAGAAGTTTTGATTTTATGTGTTCGAAGTTTCCAGTATTTCTGTCCATTCCCCTCTTCCCCCCTCTCAAAACTATTGATGCTGAACAAATGTCTAAACTAGTAGAAAACTTAAGTATCATTCTTACAAACTTTATAAAACATATGGTCTGTATTATATGTAACCAAATCTAAGCCAGAATAGGAGAAAATCTCATTTTATCATCTGTAGATGGCTAAATATATATTTCTTTCTTTATATATACAGTTGACCTTTTTATTTTATTTTTTAAAACAGAGTAAAATTCTTGGTATTGTTAAAGAGCTATAATGTAGAACTGTAGCTTGTTACACTTACTCTCCTGAGTGTAATTGCACTAAGATCATTCAGTTTCCATTTGGAAAGCCAGTGGCAATTACTGGAATACAATGTATCATGCATTTGCTCACTGGATATAAAACGTATATACTAATTCGCAATAAAATGTAACAGCTGTCAGTGCATTTTCTGCTCTGTTACTTCAATAAATTGGAACTCTGACTAGAAAATGGGAATATTGCATTTTTACACACTCTGTAATGTGTTTGCTTTTTGCAAATACAATTTATTTTTTTCATGACAAAAATTGTGGTTTGTTATTACTGCTAGTGGATAAATATTCTTATATCAGAATGAATTACACATGGTATCTGTAAAGAAGTAGTAATATTTTCTGCTTTTTATTGTAGCCTGTCTCCAGTAAACAAAATGCACTTAACCTACTTCTGTCATATATTGGGGTTTTTTTTTATTTTATTTTTATTTTTTTTTTACCATTGCAATGGTTGAGGGATGGCAGGAGTCTATTTTACCCTACCTTTGCAGTTATTTGAGTAACTGGTTAACATTTTATAGGAGGCTGTTATTTCTCTCTTGGATTTATTTTTATTTTTATAAACATATATAGAGATAAATAGTTCTGGAAGACAGTTATTAACCATGACTCCTCACATTATGAACTAGTGCATCTGAGTTTTATTTAAGATAAAATGCCTGCACATTTGTGTAATTTTGTTACTTGAGGTCAGACTTTTCACAGATAATTAGCCTTTTACACACTGTGAAATCAACCTGCATTGGTTATTTGGCTAGACTCTTTGCTTCTGTTCTTTATTTCCCAGAAGGTTAACGTGCTGAAAATCTAGCTGCAAGCACATAGTACTGTCTCTTTGTGTTGCTAATTATCCCGTTGCATAATTATTAATATCAGGAGCAGGAAGAGGAAACAAGCACACCAAATAGTCATGAATGCTAGTGTTCTGGCAGGAAGCTAGTCCTGCATTAATAAAATGTGCCTGTGCCAATATCACAGAAGATAGGAGCGTTCCTTGTTAAGGATCATTTATTAACTGAGATCATCTTTTAGTTCGCCTTGGGGTAATGACTAATGTCAATGGCAAATTTCACAGTTGTCTAGAGAAATGAATTAAATTTGTAATAAAAAGCCCTTCGGCTTGTTGTACATGTTCATTTATTGGAGTAGTTGAACTAGGAGAACTGTAAGGCAACCAAGAACATTGGCTTAATTTTCCTTACATATAATAGTGACCTTTAGCTTCATATTGAAAAAGTTACCTATTATAGACTGGTAAATTAAATGAGAAGTTCCTCTAATGCAAAATAAACTAAGTGACTGAGCTAAGTTAAACGGCCCTTGAGCTTATGAGGATTTTGGCAGAAACAAATTATTTTTTTTGCTACATCTGTTCTGTACCAGCCTTCTGAAGGTGGTTTGGTATCTAATCAGTCAGATAAAGCATTACAAACTGAGATGCTAAGAAGTAGCTAGAAGCTCATCCTGTACGATACCAGGATGATTACAATCTTGGGACAGTACAGTGACATTTTTCACACTGCAATTGTGGGTGTTTTGAAAACTTTCCAATGTTCTTTGTATGATATCTTTTATATAAAGTCAAAGCAACCTGCGTCAATTAATAAAAATGGTGTGTTGGAGTTTACTTTTTTTCAAATTTATGTGTGCATTGAAAAACAGAAGAAAGTTTTAAATATTATCACTGCAGACAATAAATATTTACAGGCATTTTACAGGAAAATATCAAAATGTAAAGAGAAATGGCATGCACCACAGCAGGGATGGAATGAGAATTATAAAATTTCTCTTTTCTTAGGTCAAAGGACAAGAGAATTTTTGATTTTTGGGTATATATATTTTAGTTTTCGGAAAGATGATAAGCCCTGTCCCACCACCAATTTAATACAGACTGTATCTAACAGTTAGTGTGGTGGGTTTCTCTCTTTCAAAGAGAAATGGGACATGAGAAAACACAAAAAAAAAAAAAAAAGTATGGGGGAAATCCCAGCAGACAGCAAGAAAAAATACCGTAGCTGTTGAAAGAAAATGGAAGTGGGAATACATTTACTTTGCCATCAAGATCTACCAGGACTCAGGATGTGTTTTTATGGTGGCTCCTGAAATCATACTGCAGTGCTTGGAAAATAGACAAAATCAACGCAATAGTGCTGCCTTACTCTGCCTGTTTTTCAAAGTTCATGACAGAATTGCAGCACCAGTGTTTTCAAAATAACTTTTCTACTTGTATAAATTCTCCATTTAATTCTGCGTAGTAGGTGCTTCGATGTGATCCGCTGATGGGATCCTGTGTTTATTTCCATCAAATATATTATGACAATCATTTAGCTTATTTACTCTGAAGGTTCCTGAAATTTTAAAAGTTTTGCAGATCTGAAATTTCCTTTCTGCTCTATTCAACAACATAAAAAAACTTTTGGAATTCTAGTGACTTTAATGAATGCTTTCCACTAAAATAATATTTAAAATATATTTTCATGTGAATTAAAGGATGCTCTTACTATAACTGATGAGGCTGAGCAAAAAAACCACTGGAGTGACTAATAAAATCATGAAAATACAACTGTTAGTATGAATTCCTAATGGCTCCCAGTGCAAACCATAGGTTGTTGACAGACGTGCAAACATAAGAAGTTTTTACAAAATTTTGGCAACTCTTGACTACAATATTGTTGTGTGACCAAATCAAGATTGAAGTATTTCAAATGTAAAATTATGTTGTGGAGGAAAGGTTATAGTCAGGTTTAGTATCCAGAGATTGTAATACATCCACAGGGAGTCAGTGTTGCTGGGGATCTTTTTTGCACCAGTCAGTTAATGGACCCAAACTAGGGAGGCAGAAAATAGGGAGTTAAATGCAGAGGTACAAAGCTGCTAATGGTTACTGTTTATTTTTTCTGACAGAGAAGGTCAACTTTAATTTTGTATCTGTCACATGCCTGAATTCTAATGTATCATGTTAGCAGCTTTTAAGAATATTCTGGAGATGGTTACCAGAAGATAATGCAGAAATGAAGCATGGTGGCACTCGTAGGTGGGGGAGGGAAAGAGCAGGTTTACATTGTCCTTCGGTGTAAATCATTGTTAAGTTTACTGGGACAGCTATCTTTCTTTAAAGTCCAGACTAATATTCATGGCACTGACAGGATGATAACTGATTGAAGAAAAATTGTCACTTACATGGCTCTGAGTAAAATCTAAAAGTTTATCTTTTATTCTATTTTGAAATCCAGTAAAAAGCACTTGAGAATATATTTTTCTTAAGCAGTAAAAGAAGGTTTTGTTTAGCCGTATGTAGTGAAATTGCATTTTCTCACTAGCAAGAATGTACAGTAGCAGGAAACTTTCATTTCATAAAGACTGCTCTAAAATCCAGCCATTGAAACTTGTGAATATAGTAAGCAAGTCCTGTGTTTTTAAAATAAATATTCTAATGCCTGTTCAGAATATGGACATGGGCATGTATAAAAAGTGTAGTTTACATAAAGTTTTCAGTATGTTGATTTTAGTGGGTTTTTTATTTGTTTTTTAAGGAAAGAAGAAAAAAGTGTAATCAAAGCTAAAACTTGATTTGAGTGACAAAAACATTCTAATTTGGGAGTTGATAAAGATAGTGATCATATGCAGGTACCGATAAATTTCAATATGCAGTTCTATGAAGAAAATGAAGAATCTTTTTTACATATAAAGAAAAGGAGAGTAACACATAAATTTTTTCCACAATGTTTTTTCTTTGCTAGGTGGTGTGTGACCAATAATATAAAACCTTTTAAAAACTCAATGAAACCAATGTCCTTGTAGCCAGAAATATGACAGTGTGCAATTGCACAATTAAATGAAATGAATGAATATATATTTTCTTAAAATTCAAGTGCTGTCATCAGCATTTACAAAATTAATGCCTGGAGTACCTGCAGCACATGTCAAAAGGTTTCCGAAATTTAGGTGTGAGAAATATCTGAAATTTGGGCTATTGTTACTCAAGCCAGTCAAATATGGATTTAAGTGGCTAAGTTTCAAAATGCTGGCTCACTTTTGGTCTTTTTGTATTGTTTTATTCTTTTTTATTTTTTGCAATTCTATTAGCCCTTTAGGAAAATATCTTTTTTCTCTGTTCTGTTTACTTAATTTTGTATTTTCTACCAAGAGACATATTATATTCTGGATTTGTTTTGATTCTAATTTTTCCACCTTTATAAATGGTAGTATTTACTTTTCACAGCCTTAGCTGACCAAGAAATACAGCAACATGGGAGAAATAAAGCAGATATGGGTGTGGTTCTCTAAAACAAATTCATTTTCTCGCTGTGCATTTCTATGCTGTGGAATAGACTTTCTGCTTATTCACACAGAGGGAGTTTAGAAAT